TTTTTTTTTTTTTTTTTTTTTTTTTTTTTTTTTTTTTTTTTGGTACTGAGGATTGAACTCAGGACCTTGCCCTTGGAAGGCAGGCAGTGGCACCACTGAGCTAAATCCCAGGCCCTCAACTTCCTATACAGTACTAACTTTGAAATTGTTTTCTTTTGACTGTTTATTTATTTTTTTGCAGTGCTAAAGAGCAAATGCAGTTTGCACATTCAGCAAGTGCTGTACCATTGATTGATACCTGCTGCCTTGAAGTTTTTAAAAGGAACTTCGAAGGCAAGAGAAGGGAAATACAATAATTATTAGATTTCTTGCCTAACATGCACTAGGCATCATAGTCATACTAACACAGGTATCTTAGTAAAGGTCCACCAGACTTGCATTTGCATTGTGTGTCTTACTGTATCACATAGGGTATGTAAATGAGCATGCAAATATCTAAACTTTAAAGACCAAACATGTTTAAAAGAGAAAGAAAAGGAAAATGAAAGAGGGAAAAAGAGCTGTTTTTGAGTCATTTATCCTAGAATCTCTCAGATATGGCTGAAGGAAGAGAGGCAGAAGTTTATATGAGCCAAGACTGAAGGAATACTGGCCTCAACCAAGCCCTGAAATAGTGTCTTCTAAAAATCTTGTGTCTTCATGGTCTCTCAGGTTTAAAAAAGAATGATAAAGAAATTAGTGGATTATATAACATGACCATCTCTTTAAATTCTTAAAAATTAATGAATGTAATGTTCTCCTAAAAGCATGCATCATAATTAGTCCTTGACAGTTGTTCATTGTCATTTGACTTCTTCATCTCTAACATAAAAGACTGAAGTGTCTCATTGTCACTTGTGACCTGTAGTTACCCTCGCTAAACTTTGAAATGTAATCTGATTTTGATTACGTTACGTTTAACATTTTAAGTTTGAATACATACAATAATTTTCCCTTTTCAAGGTGAATTTTTTCCTTGTAGACTCTATTATAGACTATTTTGGAAAATTGTAAAAATTTTTGTAAAAACAAAATTGTAATAAGTGGTCTCATACATTTTATTCTTTTTGGTAGGTAGGTTGACAATATGCATATTTTCAAATTGAGGCTTACTTAGATATTAAGTTATATTTCCATCTTTTATTTAAGGTTTATATTTTCCCATTTACCACTTGGAAGTACTGGTTAGTATGTCCTTTGACATGGTGTGCAGGCTTCTCTGGTGGGTTTTGAATAGATGATGTGTCGTCTGTTTTTAAGAGCAGCGTGAAGGACACACAGATCGAGCCCTGTGGTCGTCTCATTTCCTATCACTTTAGCTGCAGACTAAGAGCTGTTTGTTTTGTCTTGTATTTACTGTTATATAAAACATAACACAAGTGGCTGTTATTCTCCTGTTCTTTTTTGCACTCTTACCCAAATGAAACAAGTGACAGCTATAGCTATTTCCTTCTTTACAGTCTACCTTTTAGTATTGAAGTATTTGGTACAGTGGTTGTTGAGGTGGTACAGCCTTCCCAGTAAAATGATTTTGTGTTTCAAGTAGTCATCACTGGTTCTTTCCTCAGTTCGCAGCATTTATTCGAATGATTTCGTTTTGCTTTTTCTTTTGTTACTTCTTTTCACTCGTTCAGGAAGTATCTACTTGGGTGCCTGCAGTTTAGGACAGCTGTGATTCTTGGGGTTAAGGTAAATTGATGTTTTCCTTCTATAGCATCTTAGATACAATCTTTGGGTCTCTGACTTGTGGCAGTACCTGACTGTTCAAATACTACTTCATAACTAAACACTTCATTTCAGAGATTAAAACCTTGGTTTCTAGATGGGGCGCATACTGTTTTGAGTTTCAGAGCATGTTTTGCAGTAGAGTCAGATGTTCTCAGTTACAGTTTTAAGTCTTCAAAATCTTTTCAAGATTATTAGTGAGAAAATTATGCTTGCATCTGTGACTAAATTTTAAAGTACTATACCATATTTATAATGAAGTAAAAATGTACAGTTCCTGATCTAGACTTTTAAGTTATTATTTGTTCTGCTTCTGCAATAAAATTAGTAATAAAAACAAAAAATTTTTTGTCTGGGTATTTAGCAATTTATAGATGTTAATAACTAATACAAAATAGTATTAATAATACAAAATTTCCTGTGATAAAGTGAATTTCAGATTCATTTGAATTTTTTAACTTCAAGTGTTTTAAAACGGTGGCAAAGCTGTAATTGGTAAAAAGTATATTCATTGTTTGACTAGTCTGCTTTGCAGCTAGATTTTATGGTATTAATAGGGCATATCCCTGGCAAATGAGGAAAAATACCAACGTCAACATTTAAGGCCATTACTTGGAACCTTGCTCTCTAGGAGTTGATGCACTCCACTCCTGAGCTGCTGTTTCCTGTATCGTGTACTGCACACTTGGGGCACCTGGAACAAAAATTCTTCCAACAGTTCTGTGAGGCTTCCTGCCATATTGGGAGTGGTGCATTCTGCAGTCATCTGATGGAGATTTCTAGATCGAGTGCTTCCTTTGTCACAGTGGACAAAAGAAGCTAAGCCCTATGTGCAGGAGCTGCACACCTGAGGAGGTTCCTAGTATCTGAGAGGGACTAACGCAGAGGCTGTGACTTCTCCAGGGTTTTCCTGGCTACTCAGAGGCCTGAAAAAAACTTTACAGATACACTGATTATGGAAGCTCTGCCTTATACCACAGAAAGAAAATTTCTGTGAGCTTTGAAGGAATGTGTTAGAAGAGAAATTATGAACATTTAACTTCATATGAGTTCCACAGCTCAAATACAAAATTCATGGTTTAGTTATCAGTTGTAGAATAAAAAGGAAATTTAAATTATAAGTTCTGGTAAAGCTAGGTTATAACGCAATAACCTGAAAATCCCAGAAGTTTAAAGCAGCAAAATTGTTTTCTGAAGGTACTTTTTCATCTTAAGTTAATAAGGGGATTTGATCAGTATAGTTTCAGACTCTTCCCAGATTTGACCCATGGAAACTCCATTTCAGCTTATCCTTTCATAATCATAGACACAGAAAATTTGGTGAACCACTGACTTTTAAAGCTTTTTAAAGCATATTTCCCTGGCAAACTAAGTCGTGCCAATATTCAACAGGGAAGTGATACATAACTCTTTAGAGAGGAGCAGTGACTATTTGTGAGCAGGATGAGAGCAACCACTTGAATTTTATAGCCCTACAGTTAGATCTAGTGGTAGTTGTTGAACAGCTGTATAGAACTATTGTACCTAAAGTGCTTAGAACAACCAAAATTTAATAAAGATTATTTTAGGAAGATGTTGAAATTGAAACAATTACTATTTTCCACATTATTTTTTGAGTATGGAATTTCTTTTTACTTTTGTAATGTTTTCTCCCTTATAATAATTTATGGTGCCCTTAGGCTTTTAGGAAAGATGTAAAATGTCACTATATCAGTGTGATATCATCAGTGTATGTTGTTTTTTATCTCTTTTTATTTTTGGGGGTGGTTTGAGATGGGGTCTCACTATGTAGTTGAGACTGACTTAGAACTCACTATGTAGCCCAGGCTGGTCTCAAACTCACAGGGATCCTCCTGCCTCAGCCTCCCAAGTGCTGGGATTACGGGCATGCGCCACCACGCCCGGCCCTGTTGTTTTTTTTATCTTGATTTGCATGTTTTTCGACCCAAGAACACTAGGTATTTTTGTTGTTGTTGTTGTTGTTTTGGTATTGAGGATCGAGCTTGGGACCACTGAGCTAAATCCCCAGCCCCCAAGAACATTAAGTATTAACATGGTATTATAATAAAAACACTTTGCTTTAGTGACTGCTCACTGACATCTTCAAATATCAACTCATAGTATTTCTTCATTGTATAATAGAAAAATTGAAAGATTTCCAAATATTTTTTTGGATTCTAATGATGGAAATTTTAACATAGTTTTCATTTTCTTTTCTAAATATATACAGACTATAGAATGTGGTAAGATTTCAAATTGGACTTCAGTTATTCTTCTGGTATTCACCTTTGCACAATGAATAGGGTAGACCTATGATATTGGGATATAAGATAACATGGAAATAAATATCAGCTAGTTCAGATAGGAGCATTGTGACTCTAGCTAGATAAAATAAAACTATAAATAAAAAAGGAATAAGGTATCAAAAATTAAGGTAATAGCTATCTCTGGATTGCAGTGTAAGAAGGTTATTGGAGACCAGTGTAAAGGTAGAACACATGCCTAGCATACACCTAGGTTCAGATCTCCTTCCCTGCTAAACACACACATACACATACAGAAGAAAAATCTTTTTCTTTTTTGGTACCGGGGATCAAATTCAGGACCTTACACTTGTGAAGCTGGTGGTGAAACCGCTGAGCTAAATCCCCATTTATTTTTTTAAATTGGAAGAGTACATAAATTCTGTAACAGTTACAGAATTTATTGCTTTGTACTTACAGAGTAAGGTTCAGAACATCAAGGTTCAGGTCCTGACTCTGAGACTAACTTGTAGAATGACCTTAGGGAACACTTAACCAATCTAGAACTAGTTATCTCATCTGTGAAACAAGTTGAAAATTACTGGAAAAACTTTAAGATCCCTTCTACGTCTAAAAGATTCTTGGAATGTTGACAGAAAACTAAATGAAATGTAGAAAGTGATTTCAAAAAGTTTCCTTTGGTTGAGGGAATTTAAGGTCTTTTGCTAATTCTAAGCCACAGTCTCAAATCAAAGCATTTTGGATATATATGAGAATATTCTTTTCTATTTATTTTTGGAAGTTAGGTGTAAACATACAGGACTAATGACATTGTATACAATGAAAAATGGCATTCCGCCCTTTCTATTATAAACTTACTGATATAGGATGTTTTCCCTAAATGTTATACTGTATATTAGAGATATTGCAAAGAGAGGAAAATCATGATTTTTTAAAAATTCATAAGTGAAAAATGAACACATTATATTGATGGTGATTTTGCAGTGATTATCTGTGAAATACTTTTTTCCTGAGTAAATTTGTACTGTCAGTGAGATTCTTGAGAGTGGATCCAAATATATAGTACTACCAAATCTGATGTCCAGAGAAATGTACATTTATGGTTGTTTTAAAATCTAGAACGGATTTTGTTAAGTACATTTACTCTTTTTTCTCCTTTCTCCATAGGAATTACTTTTGACAGAAACATTTGAAAGGAAAAATCCATACCATGGCCTCAGCAGTTCTCAGTTCTGTTCCCACTACAGCCTCTCGTTTTGCCCTTTTACAAGTAGATAGTGGCAGTGGTTCTGATTCTGAACCTGGAAAAGGGAAAGGCCGGAATACTGGAAAGTCTCAAACTGTGGGAAGCAAATCAACTACAAATGAGAAAAAGAGGGAAAAGAGAAGAAAAAAAAAAGAACAGCAACAGAGTGAAGCAAATGAGGTAATCATTACAGTTACTGAGTTCTCTGTTTTCCCCATAAACTAAGCATCATGCAGACATGTAATTTGTTCATCTGTTGAGTCATAGTACTTAGTTCATAGGTCCTCAGTAAATATTTAAATTTTACTTGAATAGATGGATGTCAGTTTATATGTATTTAAAGTCGAAAGTGGGAACATTTTTTAAAATGCCTTTTTTTTTTGCCTATGGAAGCGTATGTGTTCATTCCCAGGAGCTTAAAACCTTCTTTTAAAGGAAGCAAGCCAGGTTCAGTGGTGTGCCTGTAGTTGTAGCACTTGGGAAGCTGAGGCGAGAAGATTGTTTTAGTAAGTTTAAGACAAGCCTGGGCAACATAGCGAGATGCCATCTCAAGAAAAAAAAAAAAAAAAAAAAAAAAAAAAGAAAAAGGGAAATACTTCCTTCTCTACATGTTTTCCATAGCACAAACCATCTTACACTGATGTTTGTATCTCCTGGTTCCCTTTTTTTAGCAGGACAACGGACAGTGGTGTCTTGGTTCACAAACTTCATTCTTTTAGTGATTCTGGTTGCAACCAAATTGGAATGAACCCCACAACCCGACTATAGAAAGAATAGAGCTTGTGAACTGAGGGGCTACCATACTGATCATCAGTTAAAATTGTTGATCCTCAAATTAAAGCTTCTTTGGTAGTTTCCTAGAGCTGCTCTGATAAAGAACCACAATAAGGTGGCTTAAAACAACAAATTTATTCTCTCTCAATTCTGGAGGCTAGAATTTTAAATTATGGTGTCACAGGGTCATTCTGACTGAAAGTTTAACTAGAATTTTTTTTTCTAGTAGAATCTTTTCAGACCTCTTTCTGGTTCTTGGCAGCCTCTTCTCTCAGACTGTATCACAGCACTGGAGAACCTATAGAATGTGTGTTACATTTTTTAGGACGAAAGATATTAATGTATGAGTTATTTTTTTCTAAACTAAAACCTTTATATTTGGGTTTAATTTCAGTGTTGGCACTTTGCAATAAGTAAGTGGGCTTGGGGTTTCAGTCTGAGGACTCGTCTCAAAAAGGTTTGCCATCAGTGCTATGTTGTTATGCAATGCTTTTGTATACATTTGTCTTCATTCTGCTATAAGGACACTAGTCATGTTGAATTAGAGTCCACCCTAATTCAATATGATTGCATCTTAACATGATTATATCTGCAAAGACTCCATTTCCAAATGAGGTCACATCATAGTCTCTGAGGGGCTAGGGTTTCAATGTACCTTCTTTGGAGGGGATACAACTCTATCCATGACAACCTCTATTTTTTGCTCTTGTTTTAAATACTATGTCTCAGATTACTCTTATTGCTGGGGCAGATTTGACTCAAACCATTTTAGTTCGTTATATTACTCTGTGGACTAGTCCCTATATTTTTCTGGATTAGCAGAGTAGTTGTCTAAGGTGCCTAAGTATTCTGTCTCTATATTAAAAATTTTAATTTTGTAAGCATTTTAAACTATCTTTTTGCATTTTAAAAGCATATTAAAACTGTTTATCTCAAATGCTGGAGGGGCGGTGGGGATAAAGAAACTCTTCTCCACTGTTGGTCGGAGTGTAGACTGGTGCAACCACCATGGAGATCAGTGTGGTGATTTCTCAAAAAACTAAAGCTAGAGGTTCCATTTGACCTAGCTATGTATACCTCTTCTTGATATCTTCCAGAAAGAATTAAAAGCATCACAGCACAGCAATATACACAAACCTATGTTTATAGCAGCACAGTTTGTCATAGCTAAATCTTGGAAACAGCCCAGATACCCATAACTGATGAGTGGATAAAGAAGATGTGGGGTTTTTTATACACTAGAGTACTCCTCTGCCATGAAGAAGGATTTACAGTGAAATGGATGAGTCTTGAGACCATACTCATCAGTGAAATAAATTCAATTTAAATACTGCATTCTTTCTGTGGTGTGAGAAACTGAAAGTGGCAATAAGGACTGAGATGTATAATGAATATTGGGAAACAGGAAGAAAGCGTTCGAACAGGAAGGGGAACAAGGGAGGAGGGAGGGAGAGAGGAAGGAAGGGACAAGAAGAAAAGGGAAAGTAGAAGGAAGGAAAAATGGAAACAGAGCTTTTGTGCACAGGGATGGGAGCAGGCTTGAGGGGGGAATGGGATAAGATAAAATTTATTTTAAAAATTAATTCTCTACTCTTGTGAACTCTTCTAGTAAAGAGAAATCATTAAAATTTATGCAGGAAACCCATTTTGCTTACTCATTTCATCTATGCCTCTACCAACATTATCTGAAGTGATAGCAAAGGTAATATTCTGCAAAGATTATAAAAAATACAAATAAGGCCCAGGAGAATAGTTTAGTAGTAGAGCACTTGCCAAACGTGTGAAAGGCTCTGGGTTAAATCCCCTGCCCTGCAAAAAAATACAAAAGTAAACTGCCTTAATTAGGTGGCCTTAGGGACCGACAGTCCCAGAAACTCCAGAGGCTGAGGCAGGAGGTCCCTTGAGCCTGGGAGTTTGAAGCTAGCCTGGGCAATTTAGTGAGACCTGTCTCAAAATTTTAAAAAATGGGCTAGGGATTAGCTCAGTGCAGTAGCCCTTTGTTCAGTTCCCAGTGTCACAAAAATAAAAAAATAAAACCACAAATAACTATTTTAGTTGTGTGAGTTAACATGAGTATTTGGAGAAAAGTATAAAAGTGCCATTTTTTAAATTCCAAAAAATTATTGCAAGATTATGAACTAAATTCGTTTTGTTTTTTATAGCTTAGGAATCTTGCTTTTAAGAAGATTCCCCCAAAATCCTCTCATGCCATTTGTAATGCTCATCAGGACCTTCCATTGTCAAATCCTGTGCAGAAGGATTCACGAGAAGAAAACTGGCAAGAATGGAGACAAAGAGATGAACAGGTACAGCTAAGTAAATAAAATCATCCTGTTTTATTTTTCAGTGATGTTCAGCATTTTCAGTGTGGCAGTACATCTGAATCCATGTCACCACTTTTCTAAGCAACAGTTTGTACTGGATTCATTCCTATAAATTTACTGCTTTCAATAAGTTTGTTTTTTTTTTTTTTCCATTTTGGTTCTGGGGATCGAACTTCGGACCTTGCACTTAAGAGGCAGGCAGCAGAACCTGCCCCCTTCAATAAGTTTCTTTTTCTTTCTTTTTAATGTTAGCTAAATCCCTGCCCCCTTCAGTAAGTTTCTTTTTCTTTTTTTTTTTAATGTTAGTTTTGGCAATTCGAAGTAGTATATTGTGGAAACTTTTCTGTTTTTTATTTTTGGGGGTTTGTTTTGTTGCTAGGGATTGAACATTCTGCCCCTGAGCTACACCCCAGCCCTGTGTTGTGGGTTTTTTGTTCGTTCGTTCGTTTTTCTTTTGAAACGGACTCACTGTACTGTTCAGCCTGGCCTTGAACTCAGTGTGTAGCCCAGGCTGGCCTCGAACTAGCAGTGATCCTCCTGCCTTGGCCTCTCAAGTGCTGGGATTACAGGCGTGCTCCACCACCAACCTGGCTTATGTTGTGTTTTTAAATTCATCTTTTTTACAGTTGAAAGATAGAGAAGGTAAGTGAACAGGATTAAATTCCAAATTTTAAAAACCCTATTTGTAGAACTAGAAATTTCTTTAAAAAAAATCTTAAAGTAAAATTTTGAGGAGAAGCATCCTTTTTAACCTTGACATAATATTGTAAATGACAGTTGTTTCTTTAACCTATTTTATGACTTTTAATTTTTCTGTACTTAGTAGTAGATGTTTAGTCTATTAGAGTGACTAGTCCTATCATTCTTGGGACATCTGTTTTAAAAGAAGTAGATAATACTATACTATCCTTTTAATATGAGCTGTTAATTATAACATTTTCTTTAGGATTTTTACTGTATTGTCTCAGACTCATTATGAGTACAATTATTACTTTAGAACTATGAGGTACTGTTCAAAAGACATTTTCAAACTAGTATACACGATAAATCATCTCGTGCTATTTCTAGGAGATAATGTGATTCTTTTTTTCCTTATACAACATTTATTATGACTAATTTGTGTTTACACATGTGAGTGTTATGATACGATACATTTTAAGGTAGTTACAGAATTTACCAGTGTCTTCACAGAGAAAATTTTCCAGTGGCCTAAAGGTTCTGGAAAACTGATGAAAGAAGACCACTCAAATTTGCACCAAAATCAATTCCATGTAATGTGGGGACTTGAGTACAGCTAACTGATGGCCTTTTTCTGCTTCTACTGATTGTTGTCCCAAGGACCAGGTCATTCTAAAAAGGAAATATGTAGGCAAATTGGCTTATCTAAGGCTGTGAAAGGCTGAGGAACTACTGATGAGTCACCTAGGAAGGCCTGGTACCTTATTCAGAATTCTCACATGAAGGACAATAATCAAGGTAATGGGAAGTAAAGTAGATCTTGGGATAATTACACTGAGATGTGAGGAAAAGATCGGGTGAGTCTTGGGACCAGTAGATAGTGTAACATTTGAAATCTGTCTCACTGTGAGGAGTCCTAGATTTAAGAAACAGCTTTATTTGGAGGAGCTAGAAGTTTTTGCAGAAAACACACAGTATATGGTAGATATTCTTCCTGATGCAGTAGGAAAATAGTGCTGTGAGAAAGCCCGGGTAGGGAGGGCTAAATGTGACCAAAAGATGACCTGTTATGTGACTCATTTCAAATACTAAAGGGAAATTATGTTAAAACAAATACACTCCGAAAGCCCTGGATTGATGATGCATAATCCCTTTAACCATCAGCCTAAAATCTGAGAGAATGAAATAGCAATCAGTAGGCAGCAATGAAGCCTTACCTACTTAAGAGCAAACACTGAATCTTAGTCTCATTCACCTGAAGCAAAGTTTTTGCTGCAGAAAAGGAAAAGAGCATTGTACTTTGTGTCTAAAGGGAACGTGTGCTCTGAAAGTGACTTGCTATAGGGAACAAATTAACTTAGGTAGCACCTATATTTTGATTTAATGAAACTTTTGGGACAAGAACATTTCATAAAAGTTAAGGAGGAGATAGTCATATAACAAGGTAGGATAAGATTCTGAAATTAAAAAGTGCCTGAGAAACAAAGACTGGGAGGGACATGGGTAAATTTAGACATCTAGGAAACAAAAAATGGCTGATAAAAACTGTCATAGAAGAACAAGTATATCCTGAAAAGAATTGAATCAGCAGTGTGAAGGAAATGTGAGATAAATTTTGCCAGTAATATTGACATTATATATTAGAACACTGAAACAATACCAGAGAGATAGTGTTCCCGAAACAAATAGAGCATAAGCAAATATTAAACATAAGGTTGATAAAAAATTTCCCTAAGTCTAGCCGGGCGTGGTGGTGCACGCCTGTAATCCCAGCACTGGGGAGGCTGAGCCAGGAGGATCACTGTTTGAGACCAGCCTGGGCTACATAGTGAGCTCCAGGTCAGTCTCAACTACATAGTGAGACCCTGTCTCAAAAAACCAAAAAAAAAAAAAAAAATTTTTTTCCCTAAGTTATGATTTGTCTAACTTGAAAGAACTTTAAGTCTTGAAATTTTTTGAGTGAGAAATAAAGAAATGTTACTATAAATATATGTATAGAAAACAGTTTGTATACAAATGATGAGAGATTAGTCTGCCTATTTTAAATGCCAAAACTGTAATGTTAGGACTCAGAATTCCCTGTCTATCCAAGATACCATTTGTGTGAATGTGAAAGAAAAACGCTAATACACTTTCAGGCCAGGTACTGCAGTGCACACTGTAATCCCTCAGGAAGCAGAGGCAGGACAGTTGAAAGTTTGAGGCCAGACTGGGAAGCTTAGCAAGATTCTGCCTCAAAATAAAAAAAGGAGTTGGGGATATAGCTTAGTAATAGAGCACTTCTTAAGCAAGCATGAGCTACTGTGTTCAATCTTAGTACCACAAGAAAAAAAAAAAGAAAGTAACTGTAAACTGGGCTCAGTTGTGCAGATCTGTAACCCTGTCTATTCAGGAAGCTGATTCAGGAGGATTGAAAATTTGAGGCTATCCTGTGCAATTGAGGAAAACCTTTTCTAAAAGTAAAAATTTTAAAAAGAGGTGGGAGCTGAGGTTGTAGCTCAGTGGTGCAGCACTTGCCTAGCATGGGCAAGGCCTTTGGTTCAATCCTCAGTGAAAAAGAAAGAAAAGAAAATTATCTCTAGGAGTTGTAAATATAGCTAAATGTAGTTGTTAAAGGGAATATAAGCCACTTGAAGAATTTATCTGAATCAAACCTCTGATTATGCATACAAAAAATAGCAAGATATACAGAGAAAACAAATAGGTGTTTACAATTTTTCATTTCAGTAACAAAAAAAGCATATAGTTTCAAGTGTAATTTTTAAAAATTTTCCTGTGAGATTTAAGTTACTTGAAAAAAAATGACATGGTTTATGTAGCAGGAAATAGCAGCTGGGCATGGTGAGTGCAAGCCTGTAACCCCAGCAGTTGGGAGGCAGAGGCAGGAGTATCACCAAGAATTTGAGGCCAGCCTGGGCTACGTAATAAGTTCAAGGCCAGTTTAAACTGCATAGTGAGACCCTGTTAAAAAAAAAAAAAAAAAAAAAAAAGCATACCTATAAAATTAGATATTAAAAAGCGTAACAGATAAAGTCATTCTATCAATAAAAATAGGTGGGTTTACCCATTAAAAGACAAGGACCAGCTGGAACCTTGATCTTAATTTTAGACTTTCTTTTTAGAAAGAAATTGTGATTAGAAATTGTGATATATTAAGACTGAAAAAAAAGGTTTTGGTTACTTGAGATATTTTATATTTTGTTGAGATACTGGAAATTATATACAAAGCTACTGGAAATTATAGAGAAGATGTTTATTGTTTATTGGTATCTTTAAAGCAATATTTTAATCTCATTTTTCATTTCATAAATTTGTATCAATTCTGGCATACTTTATTGTAGAAAAGTAGTCTTCTTTGCATACATGTAAATATCAAAGGGTAACCCAGGCCTGATGGTGCCCTCCTGTAATCCCAGCACTCAGGATGCCAAGGCAGAAAGGATTATGAGTTTGAGGATAGGCTGAGCTAAAAATGAGTTAAGTGAGAACTTCTCTTAAAAAACAAACAAAAGATATGTTTCACACTTATTAAATAAGTTTTATATGATATGTAGTATATACAACAATAAGCAAATTACGACTTAGTAAAGCTGTTTTTAAAATGATATATTGGGGCCGGGGATTTAGCTCAGCGGTTCGGTGGCCTGCCTCGCAAGCGCAAGGACCTGAGTTCGATCCCCGGTACCCACCCCCCAAAAAAGATATATAGGCCACAGCTTTGATTTGACTGTATGCATATTTTTCACTTATTATTAAGATCAGGGCCGGGGATTTAGCTCAGTGGTTCAGTGGCCTGCCTTGCCAAGCGCAAGGACCCAAGTTCAAAAAAGATCAAAAGACATGTTTGCCAACATTTGTTATACCTTTTATTTAGGTATAACCTCTTTTATTAATGATGCATTAATATCATTGATTTAGTTTGTTTTCTTTCTCTTTCTCTCTTTCTTGCTTTTATTCATTCATTCATTTATTTCGAGACAGTCTCATTATGTAGCCCAGCTGGCCTCAAACTGAGTGATTCTCCTGCCTCAGCCTCCTGACTATGGGATTACAAGCATGCGCCACCATGCTTGGATAGTGCCCCATTTTTAAAGTCTACAGAAAACTCAGAAAGAATTAAATGAACTGAAAAGTCTCTCTTCAAGGGTTTTCAGTAATAAATAGACCAATTTATTCTGTATTTCTTCTTTTTATTGTATTGGCTCAAAGTCTGTGTGTCATTCAGTTTGTCCATCTCTGAAGTATCTGCTAGCATGTCCATGAAAGGAACTTCTCTCTTACATGGATGCTATCCTCCACTTCATTCGATAAAGGCATTTTTCCAATTGCTTGTTCTCCTTTTGTTTGTGTGGTATGTATCAACTTCACTTCTGGTATAATAAAGTCATTATCATGGCAGTAATTTGACTTGTACTTCTTTTTATATAATGCGTGCAACATAAATCCTCTGTGTTATGCCTGTTTAGCCACAAAATTCATTGTTTTTCAACTAGAAAGCAATACTAGAAAGTCTTCTTTAATTTAAAAACTTTACTTTGAATGTAAAACAAAAACTGGTCTTCAAACCAATGATCTGATCAGGTTTCATAGCAGGTAACTAGAAGCAAATGGATTGATGGTTCAATAAATGAAAAATGTAAATATTCACTATATTAATTTTCTATTTATTATTTTCCCCACTACTTATGAGAAAATTACTCTTGTCCTAACAAATTTTTATTCTATACTTAGTGAGAGTTATTTTAAAATTTATGTTTTTATAAGTGACATTATTTATACTTTTATTTTATTCCATTAGTGAATCACTGAACCATTTTTGTTACTTGACATACAGTGAAGTATATAGCAAATATGTAGACATAATAAGTGGAAACAACACTAAAGAATATATTAGCTGAGATGAACTAAATGTGATAGTGTGAGCAGATAAATGAATTTTTTGTAAAATACTGACAGTCTTTAAAATCATAACGTTCAATAAGATTAGGATTTCTGGGAAGACAGTTTGCTTTTCCAATTAGGAAAAGATAGATGGTCTGTACTTTGAAAGTCACCTAGAGAACCATAATATACTGATACTGTTATGGCTGATCAATTGGTTCCAAATATTAAATGTCTTCAGAAGAGAATTTTGTGATTGATATATATCATACACACATATATGATACATATATATGTGTGTGTGTGTGTGTGTGTATTTAAAAAATGATATAACTGTACATTTTTTTACAGTACCAGGATTGAACTCAAGACCTTGTGTTTTCCAAGCAGGCGCAGTGCCACTGAGCTACATCCACAGCCCTTATTATACATATTTTTCAGAGTTAAAGTAATACTTTTATGTATACACCTAATGTTTGTTGTTGTTGTCTCAGCATAGGATCTGATGAGATGCTTTTAAAGGAATAGCTCTGCTAGAAAGGAAAGGTTTAGTTTATAGTTAGCAGTACTACTTTTTTTTTCTACTTTTCAGGGTTTCCCTTTTGCACTTGATCTTAGCCAAAAGGCAAAGTGCTTGGGGTATCCCTTTTGAAACAGATCATCCCTTTTCGAACTAGGTTTTTTTTTTAATCATTAAAGCAATAGTCCTTAAAAACTCAGGAAAAAATAATTTATTGGAGGGGTATTGAATAATCCATAGATTTGAATCAAAAGCTAAACACGTTGGGGAAGACAGAAACTAAGAGATTCTGGGCACTGAGAAGTGTGAGCTAGCATATAATACTCCTCAAGGCTTGTCGTTATGATTAAATCTCACTTGCTTTGTCTTTATTCCCCAAATTTAATTCCTAGAACAGCAAAAAAGAATCAAACCTCCCCTCAACCCTGTTGTTGATTATAAGCTTCAGTGCTGGTATGTTGTTAGGTGATACACAGAGTTATGTGCTTGGCTATCCTGCCGAATTAAAGGGCATTTGAATAAAGGAAGGAATTCTCAAAGACAAAAATAAGACATGTTCATGGCATACACACACATGTACATTTGCTTAGATCTAGGGTATTTATTGTCATTGCAAGTTTTTAAAAAATACATACAGCTGTAAATATGCCCTCATCCCTCATAGTGAACAATCAAATTCTTATCCATGTACTGCAGTAATTCTGCCTGACATTTAAGAAAACTAGTTCTTTTGTTTTGTTTTGTTTTGTTTTTTATTTTTGGTACTGGGGAATGAACTCAGGCCCTTGCACTTGCCCGGCAGGTGTAGTGTCACTGAGCTACATCCCCAGCCCAAGAAAGGTAATTGTTACGGAGAAAAGTGCTGAAAGATAGGTTGGAAGAAGTTAAGGTAGGACTGAATGATTAGGAAGAGGAATTATTTCATTAAAGCATTACATGATTTAAATGTAAGGCAAACATGTAGTTTATAATTTTGGAAGTAAAAAGCTGCACTATAAGTAATTATAATACCTGGCATATACCAAGGCATTTGGTCACCTATTTAAAGGTTTTATACCTGTGGCCTTTTCTATATTCAGGAAATATTATGTTTTGTTTAATAATGCTTATTCAGTTATTTTTCAGTAGTAATTGCTGTTAAAATTTTTGTTGTTCTAAACTGGTCTTTTACATCTATTTTGGTATTGACTTGTTTGTAAAATTTTTATTAAAGTGAAAGGTAAGACTGTGTCATATACAGCAGGTAATCAACAAAGAAGGGAGAAATAGAAATTTCAGAAGTGGAAGTTTATGCTTTGGTATCATATAAGATACAGAATTCCCTAATATGGCATGGTTAAATAACTTTGGAGAAATGATGTTTTTGAACATACTTGTTTTCTTTTCTTGTTTATATTGGAATGCATCATGGTTACTTTTTAATGCGTTTACTACTGTTATCTGTTTACTGTGAAACTTTTTTTTTAGCTGACATCTGAAATGTTTGAAGCTGATCTCGAGAAGGCATTATTGCTAAGTAAATTAGAATATGAAGAGCACAAAAAGGTATTTTGCTTATTTATTTTGTTTTGTTTTGTTTTTGGCACAGGGAATTTAACTTGGGACCTTTCACTTGCGAGGCAGGTAGCAGAACTACTAAGCTAAATCCCTGGCCCTTTGCTTATTTATTAATTTCCATATTTTAGAAGTTTTAAGTGGTCAAAGGCAAGAACTAGTGTTTCTGAATTTTACATAAAAGTTATTCTTTAGGGCTAGAGTTGTATCTCAAAGGAAAAGCACTTTCCTACCATGTAGAAGGCCCTGGGTTTGATCACCAACACTGCAAAATGAAATAAAGTTTATCCTAAAAATTCATCATTGTTATAAAATATCAAGAACTGTTTTTTCAATAAAACTTTATTTTCAGAAAACAGGTAGTTGGCCAACCCCTGCTCTACCATTTTTTTACTGGTACATTTTAGATTACATAATGATAATATTTATTTTAGGGAATTTGTACCTGCACATGTACAAGATAATATCTTTTTTTTTTCCATTCCACTCCCTTTATCCTCTACCTCTCCTTATTTCTAAAAAGTTTGTTTTCAGTTTTTTCCATTCCTATCCCTTACCCCCACCCCTTTCTTTTTATCTGAACATTTTCTTCCCATTTCCTAGTATCTGTTATGCTGGGAGTAGTGGTACATGCCTATAATCCCAGCATTTGGAAGGCTGAGGTAGGAGGATTGCCAGCTACATCTTGAGTTCAAGGCCAGCCTGAACTAGATAGTGAAACCCTGTCTGGAGAAAAAAAAAATAACCTAATTAGTGACTGTTTATGTCAAGAACTTTTTGTAATAGCATTCCTCTTCAAGTTTTGAGAAAACAGAAACATGTAAACTAAGATTTGTCTGATGATTTAGAATGTTTAAGAGTTCCTTCACCAAATATGAAGGAAAGAGAGGAAATGAGATTCACAACAGATGGTTTATTTTACTTATTTTTATTGGTTTTTGTTTTTGTTTTTCTGAGACACAGTCTGCAGCTGGCTGTAACAATATTTTAGCCCTCTTGGAGAGGGTGTTGCTAGCTTGGGGAAACACTTCCCTAGGTGACCCTGAATGAGCTGAGAGCCCTGGTATACTCTTTTCGAAACAAAGTCTTTCAAAGGGGTTATATTTTTACATGACCAAGCTTGGGGTCTGGCCATATCCTGAGATGCTCTCAAGGCATCTTTCCTATTTTCCTCATGTGGAGTACTTGACTTCTTTTCAGTGCTAATCTCAGCAGCCATGCTCTCCTTTGCCCCAACTTTGCAGGTGCTTTGTTTCTGGCAAAACTGCAAACTTTTAAGATCATTCAGCTCTGCACTTTGCTTCTGATTTCTCACTGTAGATCTGGCTAAAAGCAGCCATCCATGCCTATGCCACAACCTGAGTTTTGGGCTACCTTGAATTTTTTTTTTTTGTTGTTTCATTTAGTCTGCCATCTTTAAAATCAGCCTTGTAAGTCTTTAGATTAGGACAAAATATAGACACATTCTTTGCAATGAAGCATGCATGGCCCCTAGTTGTTTCCAGTAGAAACATTCCCAACTGAAACCTGATGAGCCTAGCCTTTACTATTCACATTTCTGTCAGCATTCTGGTCTTCTGAGCTCTACCTCGAACTTCCAAACCTTTCCAAATTTCTCTTACAAAGCAATTCCAAAGGCTTCTAAACCACATGGTCAAGTACAGTTCCAGCGATAACCCCACTCATGGAACCAGTTTTCTATATTAGTCATTTTCCTTTTGCTGAGACAAAATACCTGACATCCACAACTTAAAGGAAGAGAGGTTTATTTGGCTTATGGTTTCAGAGGATTTTAGCCCATTATTGGTTGGCTCCAAGAATGGAAGAGCATGGTAGAGAAGAACTGCTTACCTCCTTTCAGCCAGGAAGCAGAGAAAAGGAAGGAGCGAGGAACAAGAGTAAACTCTTCCAGGCCTCATTTCCTTACAGTACATTTAGCCACAAAAATCATCAATGGATTAATCTACTGATGAGTAAAGTCCCCTCATTATCAAGTCATGTTCCAAACCCCCCTTCTGAATACCTGAGACTTTTGCGATACATTTTAGATTTAAACCATAATGCTCTTTCTAAATACAACTTTAAAAAACATACTGCCCATTGGTGAGTTGGTTTTGTAGTTCATAAATGAAATTTAATTATTGTTGGTAATTATTTTCAGGAGTATGAAAATACTGAAAACGCTTCAACTCAGTCAAAGGTTATGCATAAAAAAGATAAAAGAAAGAATCATCAAGGAAGAGACAAACCTCTCACGGTATCACTAAAAGATTTTCAATCTGAAGGTAATATATACCACAGTATCTGTTATGCTAGAAGACCATTTAAAATATTTTAGTTAACTATTTTTCTAATTTTAAAAACTATTTAAAAATTGTTTTGTAATGTTATATCATTTAGAATGCCATCTACTACTGTAATAGAATAGTGGAGATTGGATAATTTATAACAAATAAATTCATTGGCTTACAGTTCTGGAGGCAGGGAAATTCATGTCATGGTGTCCTCTAATGAAGAATTTGTTGCATTGTCACATGGAGCAAGGCAAAGGGGCAAAAGAGTAATAAGAGGTTAAACTCACTTTTTTATTATAGCATGAATCTCCCTTCTTGATATTGTTCCAATGACAATTAAATTTCAACTTCAGTATTGGAAGGGACAAATGTCTTAGCCATAGCAATCTATTTGGAAAGAAACTTGTAATTGAAAAACTTTAAATCAGTCATTCAAATCCTGTAAAACTCAGAACTTTTTCTGACACTTAATGAAAAATAAAAATTAAATTTGTAGTTTTTGAGTGCTCTTAAAGCATGTTGTGCATATATAAATTGATTTGGTTTACACTAAGCCAAGGATAGTATCTTCAGATTTCAGCAATTACTAGTTAACTTTTTCAGGTTATACCAAACTAAAATACAAATTTAAGATTGAGAATTACTACCAAAGAACTGTTTGTAATATCATTTGTATTCATTATGAAACAAGTGAAATCAGACGGAATTCACCATCTATTAAGCTTTTGAAGACACCCCAAAGCAGACTATTTTTAGTATGGGAAATGGTAAAAACCTTTAACCTGTGCTGTGTAGTATGGCAACATTATTCATGTGTAGCAATTTAACTATATATCTATTTAAAAATACAGTTTCTTAGTTACCTTAGCCACTTTCAGGTGCTCAGTAGCCACATGAAACTAATAGCTTCCATATTAGCTCACCCTTAGAAAATTACCACCATCATAAAAAATTTTAGTAAGCAGTTCTATGTGCGTACCATTCAGAATACTTGCTGACTATATTCTTAGTTATTTGTTCATTGACAGAGGTTTATTTGATTCATAAGAAGCTAGACGAAATACTTTTGGCATTGTTCCCAGAATATAAATATTCCATATCAGTAGTTTAAAAAAGTAAAAATGAGAAAATTGAAATACTGTTTTTAGAAGGAAACCTTTCTATGAAATTAGGGATAAATGTAGAGGATTATATTGAATTTCTTTGAGGATGAAGAAAGTTCTCCATATAGTCTGCCTCTGAGTTGAGTTGCTTTGACTTGGGTGAAAGAATATACATGTATGTTAAAATAAACTCTCCAAGTTAAGTAAGAAAGTTTTCATGTAGAAATATGTCATGAGCTGGGTCCAGTGGTGCATATGTATAATCCCAGCTACTCATCAGGCTGAGTATTTTTACCAAAAAAAATGTGAGTTTCAAGAGAAGCGTTTGGGTGACTCAAAATAAAAAATAAAATGTGCTGATGGTGTAGTTCACTAGTAGGGTAATGGGTTCAATCTCCACCACCTCTTCCCCAACACACACATACACAGTCAGCTTTCTCATCACTGGGACAAAATATCTCATATACACAATTTAAAGGAGGAGAGGTTTCTTTTCACTTACAGTTTCAGAGCAGTTAGTCCATGGGAAGTTGGTACCAAGGCAGAAACAGCATGGCAAAATGGCATGGCAGAGGAAGGCTGCTCATACTTTGGTGCCCAGGAAGCAGAGAGGAGAGGAGCTGGGCACAAGAATATACTCTTCCAGGTCACACCTGCAGTGAGCTCCTTCCTCTGACCAGGCCCCACCTCCTATAGCACATTCACCCACGGATGAGTATAACACTCTCATAATCCATTCACCTTTTAAACATGAGACTTGTGGGGGACTTTTAAAATCTAAACCATAACGTTCCAGTCTTAACCCTCAAAAGGCTTATGTCCCTCTTGCAAAATGCATTAGTCATCTCTAAGAATTGTCAATTCCAGCATTGCTGAAAAGTCTAACTTCAAAATCTGCTATGAGACTCCAGGCAAAATCTGAGCTATGAGCCCCTGTATAAATCAACGGGAAAGTTCAATACCTATAACATACAGTGGCACAGGGTGACCATTCCCATTCCAGGAAGGTGTAAGATGTAGGGGATGTAGGAATAGGGAGATGTAAAGGAATTGTGCCAAAGCAGATTGAAATCCAGAAGGGTAAACATTAAATCCTGTGTATTTTGTCCAGCATCTGGGGAAGATTGAAAGGAGACATGAGTTGTAAAGGGCTTGCGAGGCTCCACTCCTATAGCATTGCTAGTTGCAACCCACATGACCTCATTCTTGGGCTGGCTCTGCTCGCTGCCTGCAGTTTCTTCAGTGGATGATCTACATCCCTGTGGTCTGCAACTTCTTGGGGTCTTCCCTACACCTTCAGCTTCACTGTCACACCATCACATATTACCCTATCAGGGTGTGACAGTCCCTGTCGCTCTTTTTTGTGTAGGCTTCAGGGCCTTTCTTGAAATCTGAGTTGGAGCTTCTGTGTCCTTATAACTCTTGCATTCTTGCCGGGAAAACCAAGTGCATGATGCCAAGGTCTACTGCCTTAAGCATTAGCCCCATACCCAAGAAAAACCTTGGACTACGGCTACAGCAGCCTCTAAATTCTGGTCTGACTGAGCACAGTGAAGTGAATCCTGGGAACCAACTCTGTAGGAGGGCCTTCACAAGTAGGTCCCATGGACTCTTGTCAAATGAGAGAATCACAATTTTATACTTTTGAGCCTACAGTGGGTAGGGGCTGGCTGATTTTTTTTAATGCCGTCAAGGCATCTTACTGTTCTGATGCAAAGTACTTGCTTCTTCTTATGCTAATCTTCAGCAATCTTGTTCTGCTTTGTCCTAACTTTTCAGGTACTATCTTTCTGACAAAACTGCAAACCTTGAAAGTCATCCGGTGATGCTGTTTTCTCACTATAGATCCAGCTAAAAGCAGCCAGCAGTACCTATGCCACATCCTGAATGTTGGGCAGCTTTCCTCTGCCAGATAATTAGTTCACCACCTTTAACATGTTCACAGTGGAGGCTGTAACTTGTGTGTGTCACTGCCCAGTGGCTGTGATTTGAATGTAATACATTCCTACAGGCTTGAACCGCTGGTGGGTCAAGCTGGTGGTATTGTGCTACATTAAGTCTTGCACATATTCTTAGGACATGGACAAAAGGTAGACAAATTCTTTGCCAGAATAAAACATGCATAGCCTCTAGTCCAGTTTCTAATAAGTCTTTGTTCCCTAAGGAGACCTCATTAGCTTGGCCTTTAACTATGCATATTCCTGTCAGCATTCTAGACTTCTGAGCTCAGATCAGAATCACACATCAAACACCTCTCACAGCACTCTAGGTCTTCTCTACCTTGCATCTCCAAACTTTTCTAAACTCCTCCTGTAAACCAATTGCAAAGATACAGTTCTAGCAGTAGACTCACTCTGGTACCACTTTTCTGTCTTAAGTCAGTTTTCCCATCACTGCGACAAAATAACCAACATCTAAACTTAGAGGAAAGGAAGTTTATTTTGGCTGCAGTTTCATGATGTCTGTCCATGGTTGATTGGCTGAAAGGCAGAAATGATGTGGCAGATGAGCATGGCAGAGGAAGGCTGCTTATACTGTGGTGACAAGGAAGCAGAAAGAGAAGAGCCAGGGAAAAGCTACACCCTTCAAGGTTATACCTGTAGTGACCTACCTATGACCAGGCCCCACCTCTTCATAGCAGATTTAGTTGTGAGCTCATCATTGTATTAATACCATGATCAACTTCCAAACACGTAAGACTTTGGGGGGACAGTTTAGTTCTAAACCATAACACACACGCATATCTCACTAAACATTAGAGCAATGAAAATAAGTTTTTTGAAAAACTTATACTTTTCCATATGTTTGATTTTTTTTCATGTAGCATGTAAATTTTTTAGCTGCATTGCGAAAAACTTCAGTAATGATGTTAAAAGGAAGATACATAGTTTTTACAAATCATAATTACTATAGTTTTGATTCTTCTTCAGCTTCTGACATCACATTTTATTTTAAATAGAACATGATAGAAGAATAACTGCAACCTATCAGAATTTGGCATTTTGTTGTGAACCTTTTTATTTGGCATTTACATACTATTCTGATTAATGAATGTTATTGGAAAACTGGACCATCTTTTTCAGATTCTTAGTCTTTAGAATGCTGTTCTATGAAGTTATTTTTTATTCTTTGAGATTAGAAAATTTATAATGTATACAAGAAGCACTGTTAAGTAGTATGTTGTGATCAGTCCCAGTTTAAATTAATACATGCTTTCTGTACTTAAGATTCAACGTTGCTTCTGTGTAGAGTCCTTTGTCTTTCTTTTTTCTGTTCTCATTTTTTTGGAGAAATGCCATATTGTTGTTGCTAAGTCGACGCTTTACTTAATGTAAATATATTTGTTTATGGGGTCTTGCATTTTTTTATATACACACACACATCAGTACTGTCAAATCACTGTAATGTGTTTTAAAAATAAATAGCTAATAATTTTAAAGGCTATAAATTAGTTATACTTTTTATTTCATTCAACAATGGCAGTAGTCTGAAATTTTTGCAGTTAAAGTACTCTTAATTTCATTTTGCACATATTTGTGTTCCTCATGTGTTCCTTCTGCCCCAAAATGTGAAACCTAATAACTGTATTGTATGGAACCTATGTATCAAACTGCATAGTACCCCTTGATACAGATGTTATAGTTAGGTAGAATAGGGACCACTTGCTCACTAGTCCCCAAGCTGAGCAAGTTGGTCATGTCCTAACATACTGAATTTTAACATCTTAAGCTTAGAAAAGTAAATCAGATGTGAGTCCTAAAAAACCTTTAAAGTCTTAACTCTTACTATAATTTTTAAATACTTTGGTATTTTTACATGCTAAAACATTTTCGTATATAATTCCCTTCAATGAAGTCTCACTTTTTTTCATTTACAGATAACATTAGTAAAAAGACTGAGGTAAGTTTTATTGTAACCATCTTGTGTTCTAGAAAAAGCTTATGATTTAAAGAATGATACTGTAATGTTAAGTATGTTTTTTAAAAAAATTTTGCCTGTAGCCATTAAACCCATATGTCTGTCTTGATTGAATTCTTAATATTTCTGGCATTATAAATATGTAAAATATAGTACAATAAAAATATAGTTATTTGCATGAAATACATGATTTGGCTTTACTATTCTTGTTTGTATATGAGGTAAAAGTTTGTATGTGTATGCCAAGCTTAAAATTCAAGGCAAAAATGATTTGATCTCCAAGACTGCATTTTTACTTATTAAAAACACCGTAAGAAGCATGTCTCAGGTATTTTTGGAATCATAAAAATTATGAAGTGAACTGTGATTGTATAAATAGACCTGTGGCTAAGAGTAACTTCTATCTGTCTCTTACCTTTCATCACTATAGTACAGCTTACACACCTCCCTGGTGTAATAGGTCCTTTTTTTAAAAGGTTCTATTGGTGCCTCCATAAACCTTTTAAAATCGAGAGATGATACTATTTTAAAATATCCAGTACCACTGAGGAAGATTCTAATGTTAAAGATTCTTTAAGAAATGACTTTAAAATTTCATTATTTTATTATGTTTTCTCATCAGTAATTCTATTAATTTTTTCACAGATAGCTATTTCTTGGTTTTGCTTGAGAATATTCTGAATATGGTTTCTAACAATATCTTTGATTTCAGACATTTGTCTGCCAGGTTGGGAAATGAAATTCATCTCTTAAGAAAACTATATCTAAATAATCCTATGTTAATAAATTTAGTCTTTATATAAACACAAAACTCATTAAAACTGATGCTAGAAATTCTTCTAAAGGTATTTACAAACTTCTGTAATTGATTTTTAGACTAAAATTTATTTACTTATTTTTTTGGTACCAGGGATTGAACTCGAGCCCTTGCACTTGTGAGAGAGGCGGTGAAACCACTGAGCCAAATCCCTGGCCATAGACTAAAATTTATTTTTAATTTTTATTTTCTTACATTATTTTTACTAATCCATGTTTGCAGCACATAATGATTACATTCGTTACGAAGAGTTGGTAAATGTACATAACATCTTAATTCTTGTTACATCCCTTCTCCTCCCTTTCCTCCTAGTTGTATTTTTTCTCCCTCTTAGCCCCCTCCCTCTGTCTTTTTTCCTCTATTTTTTGCTCTTTATTTGTATTTTGAGTTTCTCATATAAGAGAAAACATGATATTTAAGCTCACATGTCTGATGTATGTCACTTAAAATTATGATCTCAAAGTGCATCCACTTTCCTACAAATGACTGAATTTATATCCTTTCTGTCAGAGTACTACTCCATCTTGTATAAATATATTTTATTTATCCATTCATCTACTGATGAACATACAAGCCATTGCCAAGATTTAGCTATTATGTGTTGTGCTGCTTATAAAAATGGCTATGCATGTATCATTGTAATATGTCTTTGATTCTTTTGGAAGATAACCTAGGAAGGGAATAGCTGGGTTGAATGGGATTTCTTGTTTTAGTTTTTTGAGGAATCTCCGTACTGATTTCCATAGTTGTACTAGTTTATATTCCCACTAGCAAAGGATTCCTCTTTTCACACCTGCCTTTTGGCCTTGCCAGCATTGGTTGTTATCTGATTATTAATGACAGTTCTTTTTGGAGTGCCTTAGTTATTTCCTTCGGGCTGGGACAAAATACCCAACACCTGAAAGTTGTAGGAAGAAAGGCTTATTTTTGCTCACAGTTAGTAGAGGTCTGTAGTTGGTAGTTGGCTGGCTCCAAGGCAGGATGGCAGGGCAGAGCAGGTAGGAGACAGGAAACAGCATTTTTTTCTATCCCTTTATATTCCATTGAAGTTACCAGCCTATTGGTTGGTGCCACCCACACCCAGAGTGGGCCTTTCTATTTTCCATACCCAGAAATATGTTAAACCGAACAGTGGACTAATTTAGTTGTCATTTACCCTTAATCCATATTCATACACCCCAGATCTAGCCATTCTGAAAAGTCCCACTATAAGGGAAGGAGGCTTTGAGGAGAGGTCTAGATACAAGTCATAACATGGAGGAAGGTGGAATCTCAGTATTGTTTTAATTTGCATTTCTCTAATAGTTGGAGTTGTTGAACATTTTTTCGTGTATTTAGTGGCCATTTGTATTTATTTTTCTGAGAAATGTCCATTCATTTAAATTGGCCTTTTTTTTTTTTTTTTTTTTTTTTTTTCCAAGGATTTCACCAGACCTTG